CGGGCTGGACTCCGCTTTGTCCATGGTGAAAGCCGATCCGGCGATCCACAGCGTGCAGTTGATGTTTTTCCTCAGCGACCAGCACGGATCAGCTCTAGGCATGACGAAGCAGATATCGTCCTCTTTGGAAGGCCAAAAAAAAGTAGTTTAGCTTTCACAATGAAACACACCGCATATCCACAACATGGCGGCAGCAACAATACTACAGTGAAAATAAAAGTTACGCCTTCTTTCTTTGCGTGAACATTTGGGCGGCGTTATGCAAATCTTCCCACATAGTGAGGTAGATATGTGGGGGCGTGTTAGAACGAGCCGTTTTAGGTAGGTGTGGCTGACTCTTAACTTTTATAAAGAATATCTCTTTGGATTTGAGACTTTAGTCTTTGCAACTTTACAGATCTTCTTTATGCACCAAGAGCTTGTAACACTTCAAAGAGAAAGGAAAACTTGAAATCGCATCATATGAACCCTTTAAAGCTTGCGCTGAGAGCTGCTGTTTTTCGTCCACCTCAACGACTCACACTTTTAAATCTCCAGCAGTAACTTTCAACTCCTTTACATCTTTCTGCAACTCCCCGATCTCTTGTTTAGTATCCTTGGAAAAACCTTGAAATTCTCTTCTAAATTCCACGATTTCATTTTTTAATGACTTAAGGCAGTGGTTCTCAAACCTGTCCTGGAGTACCCCCAGCCCTGCACATTTTGTATGTCTCCCTCATCTATCACACCTGATTCAACTCATCAGCTCATTAGTGGAGACTTCAAGACCTGAAGTGGGTGTGTCAGATATAGGGAGACATACAAAATGCAGTGCTGGGGGTACTCCATGGAGAGGTTTGAGAACCACTGACTTAAAGGGGTCATATGATGCGATTTCAATTTTTCCTTTCTCTTTAGAGTGTTACAAGCTCTTGCGGCCATTTCAGCTTCTTTTCTTCGGCTATGTTTCCCTTACTCCTTATTTCTGTCTTTGCTCCGGATCTCAGTAGCATATCAAAACAATCATCTTAAAAGGTCCGAAGAAAAAACTAAAAAGTTCAAACCCCCAAACGATCTTATAAACGGGGATATTCCGAGTCAGTTTTTACCATGCCGATCGAACGCATGGCATTCCAGTGGAAGTCCAATGAATTTTACATCTTAAAGATAAATATAATACAGGTGCATCTCAATAAATTAGAATGTCGTGGAAAAGTTCATTTATTTCAGTAATTCAACTCAAATTGTTGAATTTATTTAATACACGAGTTTCACAATTTGAGTTGAATTACTGAAATAAATGAACTTTTCCACGACATTCTAATTTATTGAGATGCACCTGTATATTAGGTCGTCTGTGATTTTTTTAAGTTGGAAAAGTCATGGAAATTAATAATCCTATATTGAGTTTCTATATTTCTATATTGAGTACACATTTAAGGGATGTCAATCTTTAAAATATTTTATTGGGTAGAAATTCCTGAGGGAAAAAAAATTAACGTACAAAAAAACTAACAAAAACATGATCACATGATCATAATAAGAATAAGAATAATATTATATAATATATATATATATATATATATATATAAGTTTGAAAATGAAAGTGAAATGGGGGCCTTGGAGTCAGAAAGCTTGAGAAGCGCTGATGTAATACTGATGTTGACGTGTGCACTTGTACAGGACGGGCTACTTCAGGCTGACAGACTACGGCATGGAGGAGATCTCAAGCTGCACTCAGAAAGGCTTTCATCCGCACCCCAAAGAACCTCCTCTTTTTACTGTAAGTGACATCAACCTCTGTTATTTACCTGTGTTTTGAAAGGACATAAGCGTTATGTTTCGGGAGTCATATATGATAGTTTTTTTTCCCCCTCAGGGTGGCAGCCACATTAGAATCACAGAAGGCACTGTATCAATGCTAGACCTGCGATGATCCATCTCTGATGTCCACACAGCGGTACCATGAAGCTTATTTTTTTAATCTGTCCTCGCTAACTCCTCTGATGGACTCGCTCTGGTATGGCACCAGCTTTCACTGGTGGTGGGTTTCTTCACAGACAGACTCATCTAAAATAAGCACTTTTTGGGAAATATGAAGACACTAACTGAAGCAGCATCTTTTATGACATCCGTTGGGAGCTCAGGAACACAAACACCTCCACAGGACTGCAGCCCATCCCTGTTTCAGTTTGATGATCTAGTGAGCCATACGCTAATGTCTTGTTGCACTCAAAGTTTATTTATGCTCTTAGTGACGTCACACACACTAACATATCACATCTGCAGAAACAACATTAAAGCAAAGGGTTTTATAAACTACTGAGTATCTTTGGTAAAAGCTGAACGGGTCACACCTGCAGGGCTGCACCTGTCATGAATGCCAGCGATTATCAGCTTAATTCATTTCTTATATATTTTGTAAAAGCAACTTCAATTTTGGTAACAATCAGTCCACGATGTTGAATTGTCGGTTCTGATTGGTTGACAATATGATGGGCCGTTCACACCGAATACGTTTTTGCATTTAAAAATGTGAGACACAGGAGAGTGGAATAAAATGCAAGGTTTTTTGAAAGCTAAACTTCTTTTAATCTGAGAATCATGTATTTAAAACGGTCATGTGAGACACTGAAAAAGTCACGAGCGCAACGGTAAAAGAGGTGATACAAGCATTTCAAAACATGAGACAGGGCTGTGGGATGAAAAAAAAAAAAGCAAAGTATAGAGATTTTTTTTTAATTTGAACTACTTTTAACTTGAGCCATGCTTTTAGAATGGAATTGCTTTCAGAATTCTGAGTTTATATCACAATTCTTTTTTCCCTCCGAATTCTGAGTTTACACCTCATCAGTTTGTCTCACAATTCTGAGTTTATATCTCGCTATTCTAAATTTGTATCTTCTCAGTATTCTGTTTATATCTCACAGTTCTGATGTTTTTCCCTCGGAATAGAGTTTACATCTCGTGAGTTTATATCTCGCAATTCTGACTTTTTTCCCCTCAGAATTCTGTTTACACATCGCGAGTTTATATCTGGCAATTATGACTTTTCCCCCTCAGAATTTACACCTTGTCAGTTTGTCTCACAATTCTGAGTTTATATCTCGCTATTCAAAGTTTGTATCTTCTCACTATTCTGTTTATATCTCAAATTCTGACGTTTTCCCCTCAGAATCTTAAAATTCTGACTTTTTTCCCTCAGAATTCTAAGTTTACACATCGCGAGTTCATATCTTGCAAGTCTGACTTTCCCCCCTCAGAATTCTAAGTTTATGCCTTACGAGTTTATATCTTACAATTTTGACTTATTCCCTCAGAATTCTGAGTTTACAATCTCACAAGTTTATATATCGTAATTCTGAATTTTCTTCTCAGAATTGAGAAAAACAGAATTGTGAGAAAGGAACTCAGAATTGCAAGAACGAAATGTAGATAAAAGCAGCAATTAGGGGTTTTCTATCTCATGGTGGAAACAGCCTACTATACAGAACTAGTTTTAACTTGAACGTTGTGAATGTAGAATGCCGTTTCATGCGTCTTAACAAGCGAGCGCGACCTTCAAACATGTCCATCTAGCACATATTTACATAAAAAAATATGGAAAAGTGCTGCAATGGAATGCAAAAATGTGTTCTTTGTGAACAACCTGATAGGTGTGTTTTGTATGCAAACAGTTGTACAGTTTCATACCAGGGAAAGAAGGAAGCAGTTAAATTAGCAAAATCCCCTTCAGCTTGTGTTTTATGAATGTGAGACGTTATATAGATGTATTTGTGGTAAAGGTGATAAAGGCCGAATGATTGAGGACGGCCGCTGAATTATTAATACTTAACGCACACATTGTGCATTAATTAATTAAATGGTCTGTTCTTCCTTACCGTAACCCATATCACTACTTACCTTTATTGATGTATTTGACTGGTAACTTTCCATGTCACATTGTTTATTACAGTTTTAGCTCTTTTAAAGTATGACCTGATAAAGAAATTAGTCAAACACTAAAGAAACTGTGACAGTCTGTCTCATTTCTTTATTAATATGCAACTAGTTGCTGTTAGTACAATGTATAAACATTAAGAACAGAGACAGCAAGCTGAATTACACATCAAAACTCTGTGTTAAAGATGGGAACGTTATATCATAAATTAAGATTAAAAAAAAAATCAACCGTTTTTATGATTTACAGTAGTTGTAGATTTAAAGATTTTTTTTTAATGTATGTGCAGTAAATCAGTTTATGAGCAGCAGTCGATCCATACTGCCAGAGAGATTTCATTCAAATGCTTTTTAAGGTTTTGGGCAGGAAGTTACACGCTGTTCTTTGATCACAGAAAATACTGAAATGTTTCCAGAACCATCCCAACCCACTTATTAAAGTCCGTGTCCACTGCGGCCCGGCACACAAACAGCATTTCCTCCTGTCAGAGATTGTCTGGCGTTGTTGCCGGCAGTCGTCTGACACCAGGCACTGGTTTTTTAACACTGGATTGTGGAGGTTCACATCAGCCCAGCCAGTCCAGGTCATCATCTTCATCACTCTCATCACCAAACAGAGGGGCGGGAGGGGGACATCCTTTCAGACTCTGAGGAGATGCACACAACAGCAGCAGTCAGTTCACTGTTCATTTTAGTTCCTGAACAAAAACACTGTATATGGCATATACTGACTAGTAAGCTCTGCCATTGATTTCCTATCATTGGTCAAACAAAGAGTCCTGTCCCCAAACTCACACTATTGGTTATAGTTTTGGGCATGTTTTCATAACATTATCACACAATGACAATTCAATTACAATCACATAGTAGTATACTGGATGCACTGAATTTTCATTATGGAATCAATGCACTTCAAATTTTAGAATATAATTTTTTTTATTACAATATATTTATTTTATTTATGACAACTTTCATGTCCTCAATGTCAATCATGACAACCATGATTTACAGAAGAACAGTTTTTTTCCTAGTATTACAGATCTGTCTGGAGTCACAGCATGTTCATGGTGGGCATCAAACCAACAACCTTCTGGTAACCAACTCTAAACCACTACACCGCATTCATTCACACTATATTAAGCAGCATACTGGGGAACTGTCAATATTAGAAGACAATCTAGACCTTTAATGACACATAGTTGACAATCATTAATTGTTAATTACACTTTTTTTTAAAAGGACTGATTTGTCTACAAAGGACATTTTCAGTTTAAATGACAATCAGATAGTTAGTTTGTGAGACTGAAGAGCAGAAGAGCAGCAGATGGATGTGGAGTGTGTGAGAGTGTGAGAGAGCCCTGCTCACCAGCTCCTCCTCCTCTTCATCGGCCGCTGCGGGGGTGTGTGCGGGTGCAGATGGGGGCTGGGAAGGGGTGGGACTCTGGAAAAATGGTTCCTCTCCATTTTCCTCTTCTACCCTCTCAGACGGACTGAGAGAATAGCAGGATGAGACAGAGAGAAACAGGACAGAGCGTCTGGATGACACACATGCTCACAGTGAAGGTTAAAGCGGGGCTTGTGTTAGTTGATACGCTTAAGTTAATTTACAGTGTTATACAGTAATGGGAAGATTTCTGAGGTTTACCAACAATCCTAAAAATGATCGAATTAGATCAACTGCAGTGCTGGGACGTCAACAAACAAATTCAATTACTCGCAAGACTACTTGCTGTGAAATCTAATTATTGACCGTTTCCTGTTTGTGCTGCCATGCGTTTTTGTGGGAACGAGACTGTGCATCTTCTCTCACATATGAGAAGATGATCCATCACATAAATGTACGGCCTATTTTACTGTGAAATGAAAATGCAGTCCTCATTTACTCACCTTCATTTTAATCGAATACTGTTTGACTTACTGTCTTCCGTGAAACACAAAAAGGAGATATTCTGAAGAATGTTCCAGCTGCTCTTTCACACAATGATCATGAGTAAAAACACACGACAAATAACATACCATAAAAGTGGTTCATAGGATTTCTGCACTATTTTTCCAAGTCTTCTTAAGTCATGCAAAAGCAAGTTATTCACACCAACATTTTTCCCACCATCAAGGCCCTTAGATCTTCAGAAGACTTCGATTAAAGCATGCAAGCAAAGTCAAATGAAGAACTTTTATGGAGCTTTTCTGTCCTGCTTGGAGCCTCACCTGGTCACTCTATGCTTCATTTTATGGAAAAGAACAGCTTGAACACTTTGCGAACAATCTAGTTCAAGAGAAGAATAATTTTGTATTTATGCTGGTTTCATATGGTTTTGAATTTTTTTTAATTTAGGTTTTCATTTAACAACTTAAAATGTCATGTGGTATAACCATCAATTAACAAATAATATTTTCCATTCACATTGTATACTGTGAGTGTAAACATCTAAATATTAAAAAAAGCTTTGAATATATTTGAATAGTTTAATTATTTTTACATATATCATGAATTATTTATTCATAAATATGCAGATTCGCTTAGGCGAAGACAGTTTCAATTCCAAGTCCGAGTACATGAACAGCTCTGAGTACAACGTCATGTGTTGTTAATCTTGAAAATATGGTAATTACAACATGGCATGAACACACTTGACCATAACGCACAGTCATGAGGGTCCTCTATGATATAATTTCCTGTTTTGATTTGATTATTTTTTACCTGATTGCTGGTTGCACCACATGACAGACAAAGGTTTTATTAAATTTAGCAAATTATTTTCTAAAACAATAATAAAAGATTATGACAAAGAAACAACACTTTTTATTTTTAAATCAAGAATTTTCTTTTTTTTCTTCAATCTTTTTCTTTATTATAATATTTATATTATGTCCCTGCCAAAATGAATTGTGCTTCAGAAATGAAAACATGCTGATCACAGAAGAGGTCTTGTCATGTCCTTGACCCATTTCCTTTTGTATTCCGCACAAGAAAGTCATGTGGATGTAGCAGGGATGATATGTTAAACAAAACTAAAACCATAAAACAATCCGGTACTTGAAATAAAAGAAACATTTATTGAAAGAAAATGTAAAATAAATAAATATAAATATATCGTCTACTGCAGTTGCAAAGGCAACATTTTCATTTAGTTTACAATGATGTACTAAAATAACTAAAACTGAAAAATTATTGAAAAACTATATAGACATTTAAAAAAAGAAAAAAATCTAATTCAAAATAACTAATATTATCTCAATACTAAAACAATGTGAAGGTGAGTAAATGCTGATTTTCATTTTTAGGGGGAATCCTCTTTAAACAACCTGGAAAATGAATCTTCTGTCATAAAAGTGAAGCACATTTATCATGTTAGCGGTTGAGTACGTACCTGGAGAGCAGTGCAGACTCGTCCTGGAGAGCGGGAGGAGGTGGTGGTGGGTTCTTGGGAGGGCCACCTAATGTCATGTGTGTGCTTTCTGGTTCATCTAAAGGCCCTGAAACACTCTCATCAATTACCTTCACTTCCTGTGTGGGACTAATGTCCTCAGGCGGCTCGGTGGTCACTTCCTGTTTGGATGTGACGTCCCTTTCAGTCTCTTCATCGTGTTTAGTTTCTGCGCCGCTCTCACTGATCTCCTGATCTTGCACATTGCGTTCTGTAACTTCCACTTCCTTCTCTTCCACAACTTTCTCTTCACTCTTTTCTTCTACAACTTCTGTTTCACTCCTGTCGTCTTCTCTTTCGAGTTCCTCTGTTTCTTCTTTCTTCTCCTCTGCTGGTGAAACATCTCTCTTCTCCACTTGCTGTGGTCCATCTTCATCCTGCCCTGCAGAATCTC